ATTTCTAACACTGTTAACTACAAAACTGTTGTGTGCCACCGATTTGAACATTTCTTTTGGTGAATACAAAACGAATGCGTTTTTTTTATTACTATAAAACTATTACAAGTTTGCAAAATATAGGTCGCCAGTGACCTTTAAGCATCGTGCGGTCATTATAAACATTTATTTCCTAGAGGTGGCATTTTGTCACACAATGTTTATTAGTCTGTAAGTGTTTTTATTCTATGACTCTTGTTTTATTCAAACCAAATATTTTAAAATATATTTTCTGTCATAACGAAATATACTGCCATGAAACTGTATAATAGAGAGAGAGAGAGAGAGAGAGAGAGAGAGAGAGAGAGAGAGAGAGAGAGAGTGAGAGAGAGGGAGAGCTCTAAAAGTTGCAACAAAGGCGGCTTTCCACTGCCAATATTTCGAGGTCCCAGATTATGAATGAGCACTTGGTAGCTAGCTCTATTTACGCTTGAATAAAATATTTAATTATTTTAAAATGTTTCAAATGAACGATATATGATATTTATTCCGTTAAAGTTTGAAAACATATTCAAAATCAACGTTTCTCGTTTCCAAAAATTGTCATCGTATTTAATTGTTAGTATCTACATAAAACAGTGTAGCCTCTTCAAAGTATACTTCCATTTACATATCAACTCAGTTAAAGAAGAGACCAGACTGCTGAAGTGTCTTAGTGTATGGAGATGTATACATAACATATTAATGCATGACAATATATCGAAACATTTCTTAACATGAATAGAATGGTTAACATATATTAGTTAGCACTCAGGTTTTAGAAAGGTGATGGTCCATTGCCATTGGAAATGAATTTTGCAACCTGTGAAATCTGTGTATACATTATGCATTTCTGAAAGAAATTGTAGATTGGAGCTCTTAAAATGAGACATATTTGGTAATTCATTGTTAAATTTACAGTTACAGATACACAATTTCACCTGTAATATAAATATGGGAATCACGTGATAAGCTTTTCGTCTTTATTATACTAAGCAGAAAGTTTTCTCTGATACATAAAAGTTGCACGGAACATTGAACCAGCGCTTTTAATGCATACCATACACGTGATCAAAACTGATTTTTCGTTTGCATACATCCATACACGATGAATTAAAATTTATACAGGAAGGAAATAAATGATTTGTCTACTAGCTATCTGAAATTAATCATTCATTGAAATAACCGAGATGTTAGGTTCAAACGAGGTTCAAATAATCAGCTTAGAAAGAAGTGCTACCACTCACTTCAGTTAACTAAGTCGCACATGATTCCATTTTTTCGAGAGTTTTCTTAAAGCAGTGATGTGATACTTTCGACAAATTCTTTTAACGAGTAATCGAATACCAACATTCGCTCAAGGCGCAAAAATTAATTGAAGAGAAAACTAAGCTGATTGAAGGAGGAAAAGCTTGCATTAAAAATTGCTCAAGCGAATTTAGTGATCATCCAGTGCTCAAGAATGTTCTGAAGGGCGAACAAGGGCTGAAAACCATTTGTCATAGCGAAATGTTAGCTTCTAAGTTGCCGTCATCAAATCGTGTGCCTCATTTTCGACTAAAACCGGTCCACCCGCGGATGTCGCCTATCAATATAGAATTATTTAATACACATGAAAAAGGGAAATATTTGTCGTTTCTATTGAGAAATAACATTGCTGATAATATGATGAAACGTCGATGCTATCTGGTTTTAATTGAACCAATGGTGTTTAGACAAATATCTTTTATTATTCATTATTATTAAGATACAACATTTTGCAAGTAAAGCTGGCTTTCAAAATTCAATGTTTATCTGATTAGAGGGTTTTCTCTAATATTATAATGTCATTGTTTGTTACCAGTTTAAGACGATTAGACTCTATGTGTGTGTTTATGTGCAGTTGTGTACATATTGAACCGGAATTCTGCAAACAGATATGAGACAACGTGAACATGGCACATGTCATGTTATGCCATCCGAACGGTTGGAATGTTTCGTCGTATATACTTTTAGATCTTCATTTACGTCAGATATAAATAGATCCTCATTCTGAAACAACTCTGTCATCTATTCCTCATGCTAAGTGTCCATATTGTCAAATCAAGTTTATTTTATCTATATTAGTTAATTCAGACAATGCTTTTGTAAAATCGATTGAGCTGCCTTTAAAAGAGCAATTCTGATTTATTAATCGTTTCATTGCAATGTCTTGACGGTTAGAAACAAAATGTTATTGGCTTTAAATAATTATTAATTGAATAGCTTGAAACATGTCCAGGTTATAATCCCAAAAGTGATGAATTAAATCATAAAGGAATATACAGTACCTTTACAATGATACTGTGGTAAAATATGTTTTCAGATATTTATCAGATGAAATAAAATTGAAAGAATCCTTTTACATCGCTATTCATAAGTTACATTAAAAAATAGGTATTTCTATACTGGGTGGGTGGATGGGTTGGTTGGGACTTTTGTAACCCTTGTAAATATATACATATAATAAATAATTCAACAATGCACATAAATATAATTGTTCAATAATACTTTATCACTTTATAACAATAATTTTTTTTAAAATCAAACAGCAAGTTATGGAAAAGCGATACATGCTATGGTGTATCAGACGTTTAATTCTAATCTCTTTCTTCATTGTAGTCTCCTCTGAAAAGATCAATCTTATTATAATGCAATAAGAACACATGAATTGGCTTTTGAATGTAGAGGAGACGTAATGTTTATTTGTGAATAAATAAAAGAACTCTACTCAATAAAATGTATACCTATTTATTTATCGTTTTTTTACACACCGTGTTCTATTTTAATTGCAGATACCTCGCTATTTGCCACAAAGCCGAAGCCAAAATAAACCGAAAAGTTTGCAAGGTGATCATCGTCTGCATTTGGATTGCTGCATTTATAATTATGGTTCCATGGGCAGTGTACTTCACACTAGAGGAGCATCACACCGGTCTACAAACAATACTGTACTGTTACGAAAACTGGCCGAGCGAAAAAGCAATGAAGATTTACTTCTTGGCAGCCATTTTCCTTTGCTGCTATTCAGTTCCGCTTAGTCTAATTGTGTTTTGCTATTCGCTCATAGGCATTAAAGTTTGGCGCCGTCATGCTCCTGGTGTCAAGAATACTAGCATGGGAATTGTCCATAAGTCAAAAGTAAAGGCTGTGCAAATGCTATCTGTCGTGGTAATTTTGTTCGCATTTTCTTGGCTGCCAATGTACGCTATTCGACTTCACGTATTTTTTAACACAGGAACTACGTCATCACAAAAACAAATTACAGAGGTTATTTTCCCCATAGCTCAATGGCTTGGCTCCTCAAATAGTGCAATGAATCCAATAATCTACTGCTTTTTTAGCAAGAAATTTCGCACTGGCTTTAGAGACGCTATCACATGTTGTGCAAAACGCCGGATGAACATTTCTAGACGAAGCCGAAATAGTCGTAGAGCTGCTACTTTGAGTCTATCTAACGGCACATGCTATTCATCTACACCAACAATGAGTGTCAGAAGCAATAATTATGTTTGTCGTCATGCCCAAAGTGAAGAATATTTATGACTGAAAATTATTTTTGATATTTAAAAGTATAACCAATTGTATGAACATGAAGAAACACGTAACTATTTACGTAAATTGCAGATCCCGTTTTGTAATTTATGTACTTGAGAACAAGCAAATGGGAAAAACTAGTTTTCACACGTTAAGTCATGTAAATGATCATGCAAAACAAGATAGCAACAAATGCGCTTTCTCTCTCAATAATATGTAAATATCAAAGAAGGAAATTCCTTTTGGAAACTTTCGTGAAAATTATATATTGTAAGATTTGAAATTAAGGGGAAATTATTTTTACCAAACTGTAGTCATAACTCAAATTTTGTTTCTAAAACGTGAAAGCTGAGCCAAAATTTCTTCATTTTTCTTTGCTGTACATAAGTGTATTATATTAGGAGTAAAGAAGACAATAAAAAGTTGATTTCGCTCACAAAAGACTCAATGCAGTAGACGATTTACTGTGGACAGGAAACTCGCATGGAATTATCACCATGAATTTATAGACTACAACCACTAAAACTTGAGGATAATAAAGTAATCCAAACCAAACATGAAATAGATCATCAACATGTATGTCTTCATCAACGTATCAGGTTTTGAAGACGAGTTGCATCTCAGCTCATCTTCAAGAAAATGATGCTGTTAATTAACTTTGGATTTGATAAAGGTGTAAGATTCCGTCTAAACAATATTAGTGCTTGCCGTAAACCAATAAACATCAGACATGTACGTACATTATGCGTCCACTTCCCTTATCGACATTAGTAATGACATAAGATTTTAGTGTCAAAAACTTGAATAGTTACAAAACATACACATAGAAAATAAACACATGAACTTTATTATGTAGCTAGGAGTTAATTCCTTAAAGTATAACTCTTTCCCGTGTTCGTTTCTTTGATATTTTGATCTGTTCCTATGATATATTGGCCACACTTTGCCTGTTCTATACTGAAAATGAAAAACTGTTCTTGTATATAAAGTGTGTTATTATCCTCTCCCCATATCATGCATGAAGTTATTTTTCCACATGTCAGGTAAGAAATTATGTGTTACAAAAAACAAGTACAGGATTAACCTGTACACATAATAAGTATATCACGTATATGTAATACATATCATATTATCTTCTATAAATATAGTATGCATGATATTTTGTACACATACTTGTGTGTACATGTGTGTGTGTGATTTAGATTTTCAACGTAGCTTTAACAATTGTTTCAGGCATATCGCTACGATATCTCCAGTGTGTCAGTTAATAGTGATGTCTAAAACTGGGGCATCATGTCGCAGACATACAGCTTGTTGTCCCACCCAGTCACATTATCCTGACACCAGGCCATCTAATCCTAAATCAACATCCTAATGCTGAGTGTCAAGCGAGGCAGCTGTTATTACCATTTTGTAATTATTTGGTATGACTCAGCCAGGGAAAAAACCTACGACCTCCCGCATCCGAGGCGGGCGCTCTAACCACTAGGCCACCGGAGCGGTCAAATAATAAGTAAGATATGTGGTACTTATAACAAAAATTAGATTATCGTGTAAACGTAAGTATGAATGTTGAACACATAACAAGCATATTATCTTGTACTCTTAATAAGTATATTATCTAGTAGACATAATAAGCATGATATTTCGTTGCATTTATAATAAGTATGATATAATCTCGTACAAATAACAAGTATGGTATTATACACATACTAAGTATGGTATTATTTTCTACACTTACTAAGTATAAATCATCTTGTATACATAATACGAATTACATCATGTACATAATATAAGCATACTATTGACTAATAATAAATATGATATAAGCTGTCAAACATAAAAGATCTGATATTAGTATGTACACATACTAAGCATTATATCATCTTGTGAACATACTAAGTATGATATTATGAAGCACTCATAGTAAGTATGATAATAATATTATTTTGTATACATTGCAAGTATGATATCTTGCACACACAATAAGGTTGATGTCATCTTGTACACACGGTACAAATAATAGTATATTGTACACACAACAAATAGCATTACCCGGTACATATATCATATATGAGATCTTCTTTCAAAATGAATTATAAGAAATTATTCTGTTAATTTATATTAATTACCTGATGAATTACCATGTGATAGATTGTCTTATATACAAAACAGCTTTGAGAATATCATGTTCCCATTCAGTTCAGGTGTGGAATAAGCTTTAACCCTTAACATGTGTGAATCAGCATCTTTTGAATTTATTAAAGGCTGTGAAAACAAGAAATTAACGCAAAAGAGAAACATTCATTTTTGCAAAAGAGACATCACTACATCCCTACATATCTTCTGCAGAATCCCAACAGTTTAATTGTATATATGTATGTATTTTTACACCAGCCTACTCATTTTCGACATCAAGAGAGTCGAAAGGAATATGGAGAGTAAGAAGATATAATTTCATTGGTCTGTCGTGCAATTGTTACGAAGATACAGTATATGGGTACATAAGTACATAATACAATCAAATAAAGACGTTATGTTTGATGCTGTACACTTTAGTGACTCTGTATAGAACATAAATAATATTAGTCAAGCGAACATTTGCTGTGTATTTACAGCATAATATAACTATTTGGACACTGTCTATAGAGTAAACTTGCTAAGATATTGAACAATGAGCCAAAGAGTATAATATAGACATTTTTTAAAGCTGCAACCACAATAAACAAAATTATAGCAAATATTGCCTGCTGCATTTATGGCAGCCACAAAGAAAGAAAGAAAGAAAGGGGCAAATAACAAATATGACCAGCATCAAAGAAAAGAAAATATCAATGTTGATCAAAATTAAACCGATGAATTATGTAGTGATAGGCTAGTAGAACACCTTTACACTCGTCGGTAGTTAGGATATATCATGCCTATATGGAAGATTTGGAAGAAACAATACAAATTATGTGCTCACTTCCGTAATGGGATGTTGGTCTACTTGAGCTATCAAAGTACCCTCTGACGCTGCTGGCGGTCGAATAGGCAGGTAGACATAGATTAGTTTGTATCGAGTGAATGATATCCCAGCAAAGTACGGTCGATGCCTATGAGTCTAGGTCTGTGAAACCCACGAGACCTCAAAGATAAAGTAGCACACACGGCGGAATGGCGATCATAAAAAATGAGATTGAAGTGTTAAGTTGGTTGACCCAAGCCGTGTTTGAAATGTCGAAAAGTAATTGTAAGGTGCTTGTGGATTGAAGTGACTCGGGTTTATTGCATCAATTGTCATTCTGATGTTCTGTTGTTTGCACTGTAATCTCTTCTATTCGGAGAAAGGCATGAAAAGCTAATCTAAAAATGGCCTGAAATGGTTTTAGATGGCATGCATTATAGAACCTAAGTCTATCCAGGGTAACTGTGTCAATTGTCTAACGAACATTATGATATTTACATTTGTGAATGATTTGAATGAGTCTTTGAATAAGGAATAGGTAAGAAGGGTATGTGAATCTTTTAGGTTTGTGCACAAATTCAACTGCAGAAACAAGAATGAATTACGGAAATGCCGCATATTTCTTGTTGATTAAGTGCGTTGATGAAAAGTACCAATTTGATTGAACTCTTAATGTAGTGTCCACGCCGCTTTACATTGGGTTTGTGTAGCTGGTGTATCATGTTTTAAGCAAATGGTCATGCATATTCTCTAGTTTTGTAAGGTTGGATGAAGCTTAATGCGAAGAGGGTATGAGACCGCATATGGAGTCATGGCGTGAAAACTCGAAACATGTTGGCGAGAGAATTATGGACCAGCGAAGCTAATAATATCTATGATGAATCTCAACACCTTGGGAGTAATTTTTATTCGAGACTAATATAAATGTATGAAATCATTATATTTTTCTAGTTTGTCCGTAGGAAGGTGAACCTCCATTCTCACGGAATCCAATTCGTCCCCGAGCTACGTGTTGGTTGTAAACGGCGCCAATGTTTTTTCTGCAGCCATAGGAACACCGATATCAGCACATACTTTCAGGAAACATCAATCTTATGCTGGCACGAGTTTCATTTAGTATCACAATATAGTCAAAAATATGTGTCACTTGTTTTATATACATATAACTTTGTGTTCGCTTTCAATTGAAGAGATATGCTAAAGGTCTCAAATATCTGGCAACTGGAACTACATTTACATCAATGCCAGTGTATTACTACGTAGCAATCGTTGTAAATGTATGACCCTTATTTCCAATATTATGAATATCACTGATCAATGCAGTCAGATGAGTTGCGAGTTCTGTAATAGTAAATATAAATTCAAATTGAAACAAAATTTAACTATTATGAAAATTATGAACCATTGTTTTGAGGTGCGGTTTTCAGCATAGAACCAATACCAATTGAAAATTACAACAGATCATAAGGCCGAAACGATTTGGGCAACACACAGCTCAATGACATGGCGAGAAGTGATGGAAACAGAAAGCATAAATGACTTATCAAGTGCCAAGTAGTGAGGTATAAAATCCAAGTATATCAAGCATTAATTTCGATGCCAACGTAAAAGGTACATAACCAATTGATATGCGCAAGGGCTAAAATACAGATCATTAGCTGATAATCATAACATCCAGTGGTGCGGAACCAATTGGTAATGGCGATGAAATGTACTACAAAAGAAAAGTTAATATAATTGATGGAATGGAAATAAGTTAATGTAATGTAATAATTACTTAAGTTTCAGGACGAACGATTTATCAGTGTAACAAATTCCAGGAAACGAGGAAGATCTAACAGCTTGAAACGATAAAAACGAATCATTTTTTACAGAAAATGAACACACATCCGCATCGGAGAAGGAAAGTTGCTCAACTCATGCCAATATCATTGGCAGAGAGAATCCTTTCACGCGCAGGTGGGTTGAAAACATTGCGATTGGCTGGGCGGTACACGTGATTAAAAGATTTATATTAGCCCTTAACAGCGCGTTACCAAAGGAAACTGGCGGGAAATCGTAGAGTCATTCACACCACCCATAATTGTATTTACGCGAATTACATTTTTCATCGATGTGGCCCAAAAAGCTAAGATGATAGACCACCCTGTGCTAGCATAATCTTCATCAATGTCAAATGACAACGAAACATTTAATATCATCATCAAATTAATTTTTCTTTTGAGACAGAGAGAGAGAGAGATCGACAGACAGATAGACAGAGGAAGGAGGCATATACTGATGATATGCAAGAAATATGCCCAATAATGCTGAAGCCATGTACATATGGACGCTATTTTGACAATACATGTAATTCCTCCCATCTATATAAGATATATATTGGAACAGAAAATATCATACGTAGCCGCTATTTTAAAAGAATGAGTCATCAATTTAGTGTACAAAGCTGCAGTTCGCATCACAACCATGCCTTTGGTTTAGCATGGTTTTCTACTCAAGCGTGTTTTTCTGAAGAAGACGAGTCGATATAAAGGTCCCATTATTGACAAAGATATTTTTGCTAAATGTATTCTAAAGTGTTTAGACCACTATTGTAAACATTTCACAAAATAAATCATAGGTTTAGGTCCAAACAAGGAGATAGAGATCGCCTATTGTTAACTGTCTCTGAAAGATATCGAATTGAATTGGGAATGAAATGCGTTGAAGGATATCGAATTGCATTGGGAACGTATTGCGTTGAAGGATACCGAATTGCATTGGGAATGAAATGCGTTGAAGGATATCGGATTGCATTGGGAATGAAATGCGTTGAAGGATATTGAATTGCATTGGGAACGAAATGCGTTGAAGGATACCGAATTGCATTGGGAATGAAATGCGTTGATGGATATCGAATTGCATTGGGAATGTAATGCGTTGAAAGATACCGAATTGCATTGGGAATGAAATGCGTTGAAGGTTATTGAATTGCATTGGGAACGAAATGCGTTGAAGGATACCGAATTACATTGTGAATGAAATGCGTTGAAGGATATCGAATTGCATTGGGAATGTAATGCGTTGAAGGATACCGAATTGCATTGGGAATAAAATGCGTTGAAGGATATTGAATTGCATTGGGAATGTGATGAGTTGAAGGATACCGAATTGCATTGGGAATGAAATGCGTTGCAGGATACCGAATTGCATGGGGAATTAAATGCTTTGAAGGATATCGAATTGCATTGGGAATGTAAGGAGCTGAAGGATACCGAATTGCATTGGGAATAAAATGCGTTGAAGGATATCAAATTGCAATGGGAATGTAATGCGCTAAAGGATATCGATTTGCATTGGGAATGAAATGCGTTGAAGGATATCGAATTGCATTGGGAATGAAATGCGTTGAAGGATATCGAATTGCATTGGGAATGAAATGCGTTGAAGGATACCGAATTACATTGGGAATGAAATGCGTTGAAGGATATTGAATTGCATTGGGAATGTAATGCGTTGAAGGATATCGAATTGCATTGGGAATGTAATGCGTTGAAGGATACCTAATTGCATTGGGA